CTCATCATGGACAAACGTTTATCCTTTTCATCATCCTGTTTCTTAGTATTTAACTGTGAATTGATTTTAATTAATGAATAAGTTAACACATTGCTTAATATAAGAATGTTCAGTGCATTTGCCTGTCTCTTTATACCTATTTTCAGGAGCCAGCAAACTAGGTCAGAGGTGATGGAGATCTTGAGTGGAACTGAGGACTGGAAACAACTGTTTTTATTGTTATTTCTAAGAGTTAATACTGTCTAAAATGTCTAAAGTGATTTTGCTATAGTTTTACGGTTAAATCTTTTAAAGTGATTCTACTTTTTATTCAAGATAGACTTTGTGTAGTAAGAATATAACTGCCTGAATGTAGAATATAGTTTTTAACCAGTTTAACCAGTTTTGATAAAGACGGCTGACGGTACACTCAGCCTTGGATAAGAAACAGATTATACTTAAAGTGTGTGTGTGTTCTATTTGATTGTTGATCCGTTTCACAGGTCTGGAGTCAGCTCTAATCAGTCTAAAGGGTGTCTGACGTTTATGTTTAGATATTGTTCAAAATTGTACGCACGAACCTCACGTGGAAATGTTCCTAGTCTATCTGTGTTTTAACCAATCAGGTTAGAACACCTTTATGTATGACGCAGTTAATGACGTTATGTGAGAGTATAATTGTTATTGATTGGTGATTGTAAGCAGAGCGGCCTGGGAACTCATTGAGAGTGTTGAAGCTGGCTTCTGCGAATGAAACTGCAAACTATCTTCAGTAAACTTAATTTATTTTTTTTTAAATCTCTGACTCCGGCTCTTCTTCATCTACCAGACTGGTCATTCTTTGGGTTAAACTGTAAACTATCCCTACAGGTGAATTGGGTAAGCTAACTTGTCCGCAGTGTATGTGTGTGAATGAGAGTGTATGGGTGTTTCCCAGTGATGGGTTGCAGATGGAAGGGCATCTGCTGCTGGATAAGTTGGCGGTTCATTCCGCTGTGGACACCCCAGATTAATAAAGGGACTAAGCCGAAAAGAATGAATCAATGCTATCCTAATCTTACACTGAATAAAGCACATTTTTCTACTGAACAAAATTCAGTGTGACGTTCATTTAACTTGTCACAAGGCACAAAACATCACAAACAAACACCCGCAGTACGTAATATTTGCTTGTGCACATCTCAGCACATTCCAAGACAGAAAACTCTAAAAACTCTGATAAAAGACTTCTCCAGTTTTTTTTTCTCACAGAAGAAACATCTGAAGACGTCAACAACCACAGTCTGGCTTTTCCTCTCCGCCGCTGCCTGGGAAAATGACGATAACAGAGTAAGTGTCATCTGCGGTCTCCCTTTCCAGTGGAAAACTAAAACCGAAAGTGTTTACCTCAGAATAAGCAAATACGGGAATCTTGAGAGCTGTAAACAGAGCGCAGTGTGTTGTTCATTAAGCGTGTCACAAGACGTGAATCATGACACACAGTGCCAGTATCTCAGCTGACTCATATAAACAAACGAGAGCGCATACGATTCCCGCACTCACGTGGGCTTGTGGGAATCAAGTTATGCCCAAAATCCCCTTTTCTGGGGCCGAACGTCTGTTTCTCGCTCTCTGGCTCCCCTCCCCAACTCTCCGGCTCTGGCTCATGTTAGATTCTGACTGAAACCACACCTCCTCCTGGTTCTCTCTCTCTCTTTAACTCTTTCTATCCTCTCTTGAATTCAAATTCAAAAATTGCTTTATTGGCATGGCATAAGTAATAAATATATTGCCAAAGCATAAAATTAACATCAAAAAGATCATACACACACATACACGCATATATACACTCACTGGCCACTTTATTAGGTACACCAGGTCTCGATTTCTGCTGCGACATCTGGATGGTCGGATCAGAATTTGGCATCAACATGAAAGCATGAATCCATCCTGACTTGTATCAGTGGTTCAGGCTGGTGGTGATGGTGTAATAGTGTGGAGGATATTTTCTTGGCACACTTTGGGTTCATAAGTACCAATTGAGCATCGTGTCAACGCCACAGCCTACCTGAGTATTGTTGCTGACCATGTCCATCCCTTTATGACCACAGTGTACCCAGGGCCGGCGCGTCCATAGAGGTGACATAGGCAGTCTGCCTAGGGCGGCAGTATAGAGAGGGCAGCGTCTACGACATTTCCCTTACCACCTGCATCCTCAATTATGTCCGCGACACCTCCCTCACCACCCGGGTCCTCAGATATATTCGCGCATAGACGACAGAATAGAGAGGGCGGCGTCAGCGACACCTCCATCAGCACCCGCGCGTCCTCAGTTATATTCACGCATAGGGCGGCAGAATAGAGGTCCACAACACCCACGTGTCCTCAGTTATATCTGCGCATAGGGCAGCAGAATAGAGGTCCACAACACCCATGTGTCCTCAGTTATATCTGCGCATAGGGCGGCAGAATAGAGGTCCACAACACCCATGTGTCCTCAGTTATATCTGCGCATAGGGCGGCAGAATAGAGGTCCACGACACCCATGTGTCCTCAGTTATATCAGTGCATAGGGCAGCAGAATAGAGGTCCACGACACCCGCGCGTCCTCAGTTATATCTGCGCATAGGGCAGCAGAATAGAGGTCCACGACACCCGCGCGTCCTCAGTTATATCTGCGCATAGGGCAGCAGAATAGAGGTCCATGACACCCGCGCGTCCTCAGTTATATCCGCGGATAAGGCGGCAGAATAGAGGTCCACGACACCCATGAGCCTCAGTTATATCCGCGGATAAGGCAGCAGAATAGAGGTCCACGACACCCGCGCATCCTCAGTTATTTCCGCGCATAGGGCGGCAGAATAGAGGTCCACGACACCCGCACGTCCTCAGTTATATCCGCGCATAGGGCAGCAGAATAGTGGTCCACGACACCCGCGCGTCCTCAGTTTTATTCGCGCATAGGGCGGCAGAATAGAGGTCCACGACACCCGCGCATCCTCAGTTATATCCGCGCATAGGGCAGCAGAATAGAGGTCCACGACACCCGCGCGTCCTCAGTTTTATTCGCGCATAGGGCAGCAGAATAGAGGTCCACGACACCCGCGCGTCCTCAGTTATAACCGCGGATAAGGCGGCAGAATAGAGGTCTACGACACCCGCGCGTCCTCAGTTTTATCCGCGCATAGGGCGGCAGAATAGAGAGTGCAGTGTCCGCGACACCTCCCTGCCTCAGCACCCGCGCATCCTCAGTTTTATCCGTACATAGGGCGGCAGAATAGAGAGAGCAGTGTCCGCGACAACTCCCTCCCTCAGCACACGCGCGTCCTCAGTTTTATCCGCACATAGGGCGGCAGAAAAGAGGTCCGCGACACCTCACTTCATTTTCATAACCGGTCACTTTCGTTTTCACATTGGGGTTGAGGGCGGCATGATCGTCCTCTGCCTAGAGCGGCAGTTCAGCTTCCTCCACCCTTGAGTGTACTCATCTTCTGATGGCTTCTTCCAGCAGGATAACGCTCCATGTCATAAAGTGTGTATCATCTCAGAGTGGTTTCTCGAACATGACAATGAGTTCACTGTACTCAAATGGCCTCAAAGTGAATGGGAAGCGTTGACGCTGACACTATGTATATGCTTATTTCATGCAGCTGCCATTTTAAAGTACCAAATCAAGGCTGCAGCGGGAAGAAACCCGGAAGTACAGGACCAGCACTGTAAACATTGCAGTAACGTGCTGTGGACTACAAACCTCCGGCTGTTACAGAGATTTCAAAATGCAGAAATAGTGTATACATCACGTTAATATCATTTAGTAAGTTTAATTTAAACAATTAAAAGCAGATTAGGTATCACAATGTCTTTAAGAGTAATACGCTTACGTGTCCTCCTAGGCTTCAGATAATGTCACCAGGTAAACCAGGTGACAACGCTTTCCTGCTTCAGCCTATGTAACCCGATGAGTGATAAACACTGGAGTCTTCATGTAGCACACCCTCGAGTTGTCCCAGTACTGAATTTTTAAAATCGTCCATTTCCTGCTAATATTCAAGCGCCGCTGAGCGCGTTTATAAACACCACTGATTTGCCATGATAGTCACCAGGTGCTCATCAGTTTACCGCTCTTCACCCAGTGCAAACACAGATACACGGACACTGGAGTGCGAAGCAGCCGAGAAGATCAGTCGAGTCATCAAGCGGATCGCTCATCTGTGTTTGTACACGGTAAACAGCGGTGGGTAAACTAATGACCTTCACGGCCAATCACAGTCATTTCTGTTGAGCACATGAACACAATGACTAATGTCAACAGTGCCTTAAATTTTGATGGTAAATGGATGTTTTATTATTTTTTTTAATTTATAGCACCGAAATTATGGTGATGAGTCTAATATAGTGAAAGAATCAGTTCATTAACTCGAGTTTAATAAATGGCATCTAAAATGTGTGTTTAGGAAAGAAAACGTTAGCTAACTAGTGCCATTTCCCTTAACTTAGCCGAAAATGAGCTCTGATGTCCCTTTTATTTTCACCATTCATTCAGAACAGACATTCGGGTCACTCGAAAGGCGATGAAATAATACATTTGTGTCACTTTATCTTTACTGATAAGATATACAGCCATGTACACAACGTTCCTATGTAACTCTGAGCGATACTTCCGGGTTTCTTCCCACCGCAGCTTCGTTTTCGGCCTGCAGCCTTAAGCCAACACATCCCTCCCACCAGTGCCGATATACATAAGTATGTATGAGTGTATTTGAATGTGTTTGGGTGTTTCCCGGTACTGGGTTGCAGCTGGAAAGGCATCCGCTGTGTAAAACACATTCCAAAAAAGTTGGCGGTTCATTCCACTGTGGCGACCCCTGATGAATAACGGACTAAGCCGAAGGATAATGAATGAATAAACAATCAAACCCTTTTCTCAAGCTCTTTCTTTGGTTTCTCTCTCTCTTTCGTTTCTCTTTCTTTCTCTTAAACTCTCTCTCTCCCTTCCTTCATTTCTCTCTCTCCCTCCCTCCCCTCTCTCTGACTCGCTCGCTCTCTCTCCCTCACACTCCCTCCTTCTCCCTCTCTCAAGCGGCGTAGAATCCTGGCTGTGTTTAATTGTCGAGTGGCGAGATCTAAAGGGAGAGATCGGGAATCACATGGAGCCGCTGCGTCTGTCAGCGCTTTACGAGCCCCAGCCCCGACAGAGGCGCGGAGAGGAGCCGTAGGAAGGAAGTGTTTGGGAGCGGGGAATTTTTTTTTTAACGCAGTGGAAGGTGTAGACAGAGGTGAAAGACTGTAGGAGAGTTGGAGAAGAAGAAAAAAGGGAAAAGAAAAGAGGCCCACCGTTTGGAGGAAAGGGCAATAAGCAGAGAAAAAAAGTGGGAAAACAAGAGTTAGAAAAACCAGAGGAAGGAAGGGGGAGGTGAGAGAGAGACGGCAGAACAAAAAAAAAAAAGTTTGGGAATAGGGAAGTGCAAGAGAGAGAGGGAGACAGTTATACGCAGATGAGAAAAGCAGACGCAGGGAAGTGGATGGAGCAAGAAACTGTTGTTTTTTTAGTTCTTTAGGTCGGGGAATGCACTCGGAGGATACAGCGACGGGATTACGAACGCCTTCCTGCCACTTTTGCCTGCAGCAGGAATCCAGACGCACTATTGAGGGATCATGTCTGCGCATGGAGCCCACAGTGGCACCGTTTCCAAAGGAATTATGGATAGACGGAGCACACACGACTGGTGTTTATCCACCAAAACAAGTTTACACCGAGGAACTACGACATCCGTGTTACTCCAGATGGGATCCTCCATGTGTGCGAGAAATACAAAGGGAATGCGGATGCATCCAGAGATGGTATTACCCTGAGATTGCATATCCCTACAATGGTGATCATGTTTGGAGAGTTAGAGGTCAGCACTATTATGGCCACCTATCAGAATTTCAGCAATGCACAAGACGACGGGTTTCTTTTAGGCATCCCCAAGAGGAGAGACCTGCGCTCATCAGACAATCGCTATCAAGTCCTGGAAAGCTGCACTGTAACGGGACGACCTCCGAACAAGCGTTTTTTCCCACCGAAGTGCCCTCCAGTAAGTTAATCCGCTCAGGACCGCAGCGGGACGTAAAAAAGACGTTTCATGGGGACTCAAAGAGTCTGGAGGGTCGAGGGAATCAGAGGAAGAGCCAGGGAACCGTACGGGAACAGATCAAACAAGTGGTCAATGAGCTGGAGGAAGTGCTGGGTGGTCTCAAACAGGTCCAGTTGGAGATGAAAGAGGTGAGGAATGATAAACAGTGATTTATTTATGCTTGTACTGTGTGATTGAATCCATTTCGGATACTTTATTGAAAGTAAAAATCAAGCTGAATGCATGAAGGATGCTCAGAATTAGGCATGGGCCAGTTTAAGATGCTGACGGTATGGATAAAAATATCACAGTATTGTGATTACTGCTTTAAATTAGGTTCTTGTTAAATGTCTGGGTTAAAAAACAGCTACTTTGTTCCCCCATTGAACCTAATATATTTCATTTTAAAGTGCACCTAGTTTACCCCTTTTCAAGATTCATTGTTAATATTATGGGGAGAAGCAGTGGCGCAGTAGGTAGTGCTGTCGCCTCACAGCAAGAAGGTTGCTGGTTCGAGCCTCGGCTCAGTTGGTGTTTCTGTGTGGAGTTTGCATGTTCTCCCTGCATTCGCGTGGGTTTCCTCAGGGTGCTCCGGTTTCCCCCACAGTCCAAAGACATGCGGTACAGGTGAATAGGCTAAATTGTCCGTAGTGTATGAGTATGTGTGTGTGTGTGAATGTGTGTGTGGATGTTTCCCAGTGATGGGTTGCGGCTGGAAGGGCATCCGCTGCATAAAAACTTGCTGGATAAGTTGGCTGTTCATTCCGCTGTGGCAACCCCGGAATAATAAAGGGACTAAGCCAACAAGACAATGAATGAATGAATGAATGTTAATATTATGGTTGTTCTGAGTGTGCCAGTTTAGGTTCAGTTCAAAACACCGTTCAGATTTTGTATTATAATGTGTTATCATGTTGGGGGCGTGTATACAGCTTGTGTTTTAGGGGCGTGTTGCTTCACATGAAAATTAGCTTTGACTTCCCGCCCAACTTAACAAGGGGGCGGAGCCAAGAGCTCCCCCAGTTTGTGTATCCGCTTGTTAAGAGATGACGTGTTGGTGACGTATGTAATACTGCTTCCGGGTCTAAGCCGCCACTCATTTGAAGTGAGAAATTATTTGTTTATGATCACTTTTTATTCATATCACACATTAAAGTTAATTTTATATAAAGGGATAGTTTACACAACAATCTTTGGGCTTGCCCCTGCTGAAAATTCCAGCTTGAACCAGCCTAGGCTGGTTTTAGCTGGTTGACCAGCCTGGTTTTAGAGTGGTTTTGGCCATTTCCAGGCTGGTCTTAGCAGGTCAGGCTGGAAAATGACCAGCCAAATCCAGCTAAAACCAGCTTGATCAGCCTGGTTTAAGCTGGACATAGCTGGTTTTGGCTGGGCTCCCAGCCTGGCTAGTCTGGTCAAGCTGGTTTTAGCTGGTCATCTCCCAGCCTGACCAGCTAAGACCAGGCTGGAAATGGCTGGAAAGCAGCCTGGAAGTTGCCAAAACCCCTCTAAAACCAGCCTGGTCAACCAGCTAAAACCAGCCAACCAGCTTAGGCTGGTTTAAGCTGGATTTTTCAGCAGGGACTGCATCACAAATACCAAAATTTTAACAATTTATAAAAAAAATGAATCACTTTCTGGCCATTGGATATTAGGCATGGACATATATATTGCGATCGTATTTTCGAAGGTATTAAATCGATATGTAAACGTTTATTATTACCATTTCATAAGTCTCCCCATTCAGTTGAATAGAGCGCTTGGACCCGGAAGCTGCTTCGCGTGATGTCACACTTAACAAGCGGATGGCAACAGACAGGCAGACAGAGAGAAGCAACATCAGTGAGAGGACCAGCATTCAGCCGTACATGTACGACTCGAACACAGACCAATCAGAGACTACTGTTGAGGAATTAATAGTGTGCCACAATATCTCAGAGTGATGGTTATAAAATCATTTGTGTCTTTGTATAGTTTTACAGCCGCTATGTAACGATGCATGCGTTATCCGTATAGGGATGTGATTAACCCGTTTCACTATTAACCGGGCTTTAATTCGGCATGGTTAATTAATCGTAAAGGCTTCCCAACCCCGTGTTTCTGCACGGATCAAAACTGCGGCAACTTGAAGTTATGCCAACTGTGTGCTAGTTATACACAAAAGAAGATGTTTTGAAGAATGCTGAATGCTGGCATCTCTTGACTTCCATATAGTGCAAAACACAAATACTACACAGGTCAATAGGTAGCAGCTATTTTTATTTTTGGGTGAAATAATTTCTAAATATGACTGACTTTATTAGCACCTACTGTTACACTCAGTGGCATTTTGGTGGCTCTTTAACCCTTCTGGACACAAATAGCTCATCTAAAAATAAAAATGGTATTCTACTCACTTGTTTTAAAGTATGTAAACATACCTGGCAATAAAGTTCTTTCTGATTCTGAGAACGATTGAAAATATGTCCACAGATCAAACATGCTTTGGTTTAAAGGAGACCTATTATCCCCCTTTTTACAAGAAAGTTCACCCACAATGAGCATTTATCCTCCTCATGTGGTTTTAAACCTTTATGAGTGTCTTTCTTCTGTTGTACACAAAGGAAGATGTTTTGAAGAATGCTGAATGCTGGCATCTATTGACTTCCATTTAGTGGAAAAAACAAATTGTATGGAAGTCAATAGGTAGCAGCTATTTCATTTTTTGGGTGAACTTTTCCTTTAAATCTGGAGTCTTTTAATCACCAAATTATTCTGTTTCTAAATATGACTGACTTTATTTGGCAGTAACTGTTACACTCGATGGCTTTATTGGTGGGTCTTAAACCCTTTTGGACATTTATAGCTTATCTAAAAATAAAAATGATATTTTACTCACTCATTTTAAAGTATATGTGAACACACCTGGCAAATATAGTTCTTTTTGATTATGATTATGAAGGAAAAAGGGCCACAGATTAAACAGGCTTTGGTTTATTATTCCCTTTTTCCAAGATAGTTCACCCTAAAATGAACATTTATCCTCCTCATGTGGTTTTAAACCTTTATGAGTTTCCTCCTTCTGTTGTACACAAAAGAAGATGTTTTGAAGAATGCTGGCATATATTGACTTCCATATAACGCAAATTGTCAATTGGCAGGAGCTATTATATTTTTGGGTGAACTATCGAGTTTTTCAATTACCAAATCATTATTTTTCTAAATATGACTAACCAGTTGTTGTTTTTAGCACCTACTGTTATGCTCAATGGCATTTTGGTGGGTCTTTAACGCTTCTGGACATTTATAGCTCATCTTAATGAGTTTCTTTCTTCTGTTGCACTTCCAAATAACTGCATACTATACATAATACTATGGAAGTGCTACTTCATTTTTGGGTGAACTACCCCTTTAAATATAGAGTCTTTTAATTACCTGAATATTGTTTCTAAATATGACTGACTTTATTTGGCACTTACTGTTACACTCGATGGCATTATTGGTGGATCTTAAACCCTTTTGGACATTTATAGCTTATCTAAAAAATAAAATTTTTATTTTACTCACTTATTTTAAAGCATATGTAAACACACCTGGCAATAAAGTTCTTTCTGATTATGATTATAAAAAAAGGGCCACAGATTAAACAGGCTTTGGTTTATTATTCCCTTTTTCCAAGATAGTTCACCCATAATGAGCATTTATCCTCCTCATGTGGTTTTAAACCTTTATGAGTTTCTTTCTTCTGTTGTACACAAAAGAAGATGTTTTGAAGAATGCTGAATGCTGGCATCTCTTGACTTCCATATATTGGAAAACACAAATTGTATGGAAGTCAATAGGTAGCAGCTATTTCATTTCTGGGTGAACTTTCCCTTTAAATCTAGAGTCTTTTAATCACCAAATTATTCTGTTTCTAAATATGACTGACTTTATTTGGCACTAACTGTTACACTCAATGGCATTTTTGGTGGGTCTTAAACCCTTTTGGATATATAGCTCATCTAAAAACTAAAAATTATATTTTACTCACTCATTTTAAAGTATATGTGAACACACCTGGCAAATATAGTTCTTTTTTATTATAATTATGAAAAAAAGGGCCACAAATTAAACAGGCTTTGGTTTAATATCCCCTTTTAACAAGATATTCCCTACAAAAATGAGCATTTATCCTCCTCATGTGGTTTTAAACCTTTATGAGTTTCTTTCTCCTGTTATACACAAAAGAAGATGTTTTGAAGAATGCTGAATGCTGGCATCTCTTGACTTCCATATATTGGAAAACACAAATTGTATGGAAGTCAATAGGTAGCAGCTATTTCATTTTTGGGTGAACTTTCCCTTTAAATCTAGAGTCTTTTAATCACCAAATTATTCTGTTTCTAAATATGACTGACTTTATTAGCACCTACTGTTATGCTCAACGGCATTTTGGTGGGTCTTAAACCCTTCTGGACATTTATAGCTCATCTAAAAATAAATCGATATTTTACTCACTCGTTTTAAAGTATATGTGAACACACCTGGCAATAAAGTTCTCTCTGATTATGATTATGAAGAAAACTGTCCACAGATTAAACATGCTTTGGTTTAAAGGAGACCTATTATCCTCTTTTTACAAGATAGTTCACCCAAAAAAATGAGCATTTATCCTCCCTCATGTGATTTTAAACCTTTATGAGTTTCCTCCTTCTGTTGTACACAAAAGAAGATGTTTTGAAGAATGCTGAATGCTGGCATATATTGACTTCCATATAACGCAAATTGTCAATTGGCAGGAGCTATTATATTTTTGGGTGAACTATCGAGTTTTTCAATTACCAAATCATTATTTTTCTAAATATGACTAACCAGTTGTTGTTTTTAGCACCTACTGTTATGCTCAATGGCATTTTGGTGGGTCTTTAACGCTTCTGGACATTTATAGCTCATCTTAATGAGTTTCTTTCTTCTGTTGCACTTCCAAATAACTGCATACTATACATAATACTATGGAAGTGCTACTTCATTTTTGGGTGAACTACCCCTTTAAATATAGAGTCTTTTAATTACCTGAATATTGTTTCTAAATATGACTGACTTTATTTGGCACTTACTGTTACACTCGATGGCATTATTGGTGGATCTTAAACCCTTTTGGACATTTATAGCTTATCTAAAAAATAAAATT